TCTAAAAACCTGTTTTTGCTTTGTCATTATGGGGTATTGAATGTAGATTGATGAGGAGAAAAAATTATTTAATCCATTTTAAAATAAGGCTGTAACGTAACAAAATGTGGAAAAAGTGAAGGGGTCTGAATACTTTCTGAATGCACTTCAGAAAGTATTCAGACTTCTGGACTTATTCCACATTTGGTTGTGTTACAGCCTGAATTGAAAATTGATAAAATATATATTTTCTCACCCATCTACATACAACACCCCATAATGACAAAGTGAAAACATGTTTTTAGAAATGAAATACAGAAATATCTAATTTACATTAGTATTCACACCCCTGAGTCAATACATGTTAGAATACCCTTTGGCAGTGATTACAGCTGTGAGTCTTTCTGGGTAAGTCTCTAAGAGCTTCGCACTCCTGGATTGTACAATATTTGCACGTTATTCTTTTAAAAAATTATTGTTGATCATTGCTAGACAGACATTTTGAACTCTTGCCATAAATTCAAGCTGATTTTAAGTCAAAACTGTAATTTAAAGTCAGACCTACAAAGATGGTCTCAATACACAAATTCAAGCTCTTTTCAGACATTCATTTCCATCGTTAAGATGAACATACTTCCTCTGATAAACCTTTAGAGCTCTAGGATTCTCCTCTCATCCCCACTGGGATATTGGAAGAAACTGCAAACCTTGATTTCCAAATGTATATGGAGGGGAAAGCGCCCTCGGCTCAAAATGTCCACTTTACAAAGACTGAAGTGTTCTGGAGGCCAAAACATCCCCAATCTTAAATTATATTTCTTTATTCTGCGCCCTCTACATGTATGTGTGTGTGAACCCCAGTGGCCTGGCGCCCCCCGGAGGAGAATTTAACAAAGCCGAACAGGCTCCAAGATCTGGTATATTCCAACATCTCTATCAAAAAAGCCAAACTCACCTTTGGCCATATAATCACGTAAATGCTTACAATATGGCGTTCAATGGGGAGCAATTGCAAATATACTATTAATCATCAACCCAATATGCCATTGTTTAATAATTACTGTCTCCTCTTGGATGGCCAGCCAATACCTTTTCCAGTTTGGAGTGAGAGGGGAATTCATACTCTCTCTGGTATTGTGGAGTGTTGTAGCCTACTTGTGTTGAAAAAAGCAATACGATCTGCCAGGGTCTTCATTCCCCCCCCCCCCCCCCCCCGCTACATTCTGCTCTACGTGCTTATGGAATACCATGGGGTTTTGATCTAGTATCTCATCCTATCCACAAAATAATGACAGCAAGGGCAAGTAAGGGCATAGTCTCCAAATTATATATATTCAAACCAACGTGTTACCAATTACAAATCTATTCAAAATGGAACAAAGGTATACCAGCAGTAGATATTAACTGGAGTACTGTCTGGTCCAATATCACATTTTCATCAAGAAACCCAAATCACCAAAGGACCCACTACAATTTTGCCCATGTGAGTTATGCGACTAAACATTTTTTTCCAGGTGAACATAAACTCAACCCCAGTCTGTATGCTCTGCCCCCAGAGTACTTCTAGCACATTTATTCATATGGTCTGGAAGTGCCCAGAGGTTTTCTTCTTTTGGCAAGCTGTGGCTTTGTCATTATCAGGCATTTTGTCGAAACCCATCCCATGTCTGCCCAATGTGCTACTGCTTAATGATGACTCTTCACTGAACTTAACAAGCAGGCAGAAAGGATTTGGCTTGCCGGCCCAACAGCAGCTAAGAGAATGGTTGCCTTACGATGGCAAGCCCCACACTCTGCCACATCAGAAATGTATTTATTTATTCATGGGCATAGCTCAACCTGAACTGTCAATCTCTCAACTGCATGGTGAAAGTCAGAGGATAGTAACATATGGACAACAATACTTGGCAGTATAAAATCATTACTTTAAGATATTTACTTAAGTAAGCAGGTCAGGTGGGGGTGTAAATGTTTTTTTTTGTTTTATAAACAATTTTATAAAAACTTGATCACAAAAAGCTGTAACTAGGCCACTCAGGATCATTCAGTGTAATCTTAGTAAGCAGCTCAAGTGGCCTTGTGTTTTAGGTTATTGTCCTGTTGAAATGCGAATTTTTCTCCCAGTGTCTGTTGGAAAGCAAACGGAACCAGGTTTTCTTCTAGGATTTTGCCTGTGCTTGGCTCTATTCCCTTTATTTTTATTTTTAAAAAAAACTCTGTAGTCATTACCGATGACAAGCATACCCATAACATGATACAGCCACCACCATGCTTGAAAATATGGAGAATGGTACTCAGTGATGTGTTGTGTTGGATTTGCCCCAAACATAATGCTTTGTATTCAGGACATAACGTTTATTTATTTGCCATTTTTATTTTTACTTTAGTGCCTTATTGCAAACATATTTTGGAATATTTGTATACCTTCTTTTCACTCTGTCATTTAAGTTAGTATTGTGGAGTAACTACAATGTTGTTGATCCATCCTTAGTTTTCTTGTATCACAGCCATTATCTGTAACTGATTTAAAGTCACCATTAGCCTCACGGTTTCCTTCCTCTTTGGCAACTGAGTTAGGAAGGGCGCCTGTATCTTTGTAGTGACTGGGTATATTGATACACCATCCAAAGTGTAATTCATAACTTCACCATGCTCAAAGGGATATTCAATGTCTGCTTTTTTATTTTTTACCCATCTACCAATAGGTGCCCTTCTTTGTGAGGCATTGGAAAACCTCCCTGGTCTTTGGTTGAATCTGTTTGAAATTAACTGTTCGACTGAGGGACCTTACAATTATCTGTGTGTGGGGTACAGAGATGAAGTAGTCATTCAAAAATCATGTTAAAAATATTGCACACAGTGAGTCCATGCAACATATTATGTGACTTGTTAAGCACATTATTTACTCCTGAACTTATTTAGGCTTGCCATAACAGAGGGGTTGAATACTTCTTGACTCCAGACATTTCAGCTTTTCATTTGTAATTAATTTAATAACATAATTCCTTTGACATTTATTGGGGTATTGTGTGTAGGCCAGTGACACAATCTCATTTTAATCCATTTTAAATGAAGGCTGTAACACAACAAAATGTGGGAAAAGTCAAGGGGTGTGAATACTTTCTGAAGGCATATAATATACAGTGCCTTCAGAAAGTATTCAGACCACTTGACTTTTTCCACATTTTGTTATGTTACAGCTTTATTCAATAATTCATTACATTGTTTTTTTTCCCCCCTCGTCAATATACACGCATTACCCCCATAATGGCAAAGCAAAAACAGGTTTGTATACACTTTTGCTAATTCATAAAAAATTATAATATCACATTTAGTGGTCCTCTGTAGCTCAGCTGGTAGAGCACGGCGCTTGAAACGCCAAGGTAGTGGGTTCGATCCCCGGGACCACCCATACACAAAAATGTATGCACGCATGACTGTAAGTCGCTTTGGATAAAAGCGTCTGCTAAATGGCATATTATTATTATTATTATTATTTACATAAGTATTCAGACCCTTTACTCAGTACTTTGTTGAAGCACCTTTGGCAGCGATTATCTCCTCGTTTTCTTGGGTATGACGCTACAAGCTTGGCACACCTGTATTTGGGGAGTTTCTCCCATTGTTCTCTGCAGATCCTCTCAAGCTCTGTTAGGTTGGATGGGAAGCGTCGCTGCACAGCTTTTTTCATGTCTCCAGAGATGTTCGATCGGGTTCAAGTCCGGGCTCTGGCTGGGCCACTCAAGGACATTCAGAGACTTGTCCAGAAGCCACTCCTGCGTTGTCTTGGCTGTGTGCTTAGGGTTGTTGTCCTGTTGGAAGATGAACCTTCGCCCCAGTCTGAGGTCCTGAGCGCTCTGGAGCAGGATTTTATCAAGGATCTCTCTGTACTTTGCTCCGTTAATCTTTCCCTCGATCCTGACTAGTCTCCCAGTCCCTGCCCCTGAAAAACATCCCCACAGCATGATGCTGCCTCCACCATGCTTGGTGCCAGGTTTCCTCCAGACGTGACGCTTGGCATTCAGGCCAAAGACTTCAATCTGGGTTTCATCAGACCCAGAGAATCTTGTTTCTCATGGTCTGAGTCCTTTAGGTGCCTTTTGGCAAACTCCAAGTGGGCTGTCATGTACCTTTTACTGAGGAGTGTCTTCCGTCTGGCCACTCTACCATTAAGGCCTGATTGGTGGAGTACTGCAGAGATGGTTGTCCTTCTGGAAGGTTCTCCCATCTCCACAGAGGAACTCTAGAGCTCTGTCAGAGTGACCATCGGTTTCTTGGTCACCTCCTTGACCAAGGCCCTTCTCCCCCGATTGCTCAGTTTGGCCGGGCGGCCAGCTCTAGGATGAGTCTTGGTGGTTCCAAACTGCTTCCATTTAAGAATGATGGAGGCCACTGTGTTCTTGGCGACCTTCAATAATGCAGACATGTTTTGGGACCCTTCACCAGATCTGTGCCTCGACACAATCCTGTCTCGGAGCTCTACAATTCCTTCGACCTCATGGCTTGGTTTTTGCTCTGACATGCACTGTCAACTGTTGGACCTTTATATAGACAGGTGTGTGCCTTTTCAAAATAATGTCCAATCAATTGAATTTACCACAGATGGAGTATGTTATCTCAAGTATGTTAAATGGAAACAGGATGCACCTGAGCTCAATTCCAAGTTTTATAGCAAAGGGTCTGACTACTTATGTAAAGGAGTATTTATGTCTGTAATAAAGCCCTTTTGTGGGGAAAAACTCATTCTGATTGGCTGGGCTTGGCTTCCAATGGGTCGGCCTGGCTCCCAATTGGGTGGGCCTATGCTCTACCAGGCCCACCTATGGCTGCACCCCTGCCTAGTCATGTGAAATCCATAGATTAGGGCCTAATGAAATGATTTCAATTGAACTGTAATTCAGCAAAACCTTTGTTGTTGCATGTTGCGTTCATTTTTGTTTAGTATATTAACATATGAATGTATTTGTTCTGTGAGCAGTGTCACATGGTGAACATTAAAATATCCCTCTCTGATTTCAGACATGTCCCGAGTGTACGCCACCGTTCTGAGTCGTCACCACCACCTGATTAGGAAAAGCGATGGTGTTTACGATTCCCTGGAGTACGAGTATCACCCGAAAATGTACACATCACACTTCAGAACCAGCGTGAGTCTGCCTTTCCCCTCTGCCACCACCAGTTCAGCCGGTTCACCTGTTCCTGCTGCTCAGCTAAGAGTTGTGACCCCATTGGCCCAGCCACCTTGCTCTACCTCTGAAGCCCGAGCTGATTGGCTCACCTGCCCCTGGTTAAGCCCTCGTGGGGGAAGGGCAGGGTCATGTGGAGCCAGCATGTTCTCATGTTACAAAACACAGGCAATAGTGGCTTACAGTCTGTCAGTGGGTGACCTCCCTGTACAAGCAGAGAAGTCAAAAATGCTTATGTAGTTTGTTGGTTTTGGAACTGGGTTTATGGATGTCTTGTCAATATGTTTTGCAGAAATGCCAAAGACTAGTTGTCAGTGGTAGTATAATTGATTTAAGTGGTAATGGCAGTAGTAACAGCAGCAGCAATAGTGATATCAGTGGGAGTGTTGGAGAAGTAGTGGAAGCAATTGCATCACTAATTCAACAACTTGTTAGACTCACTAGTTTTTGACGCATCCTGGTCTTTGTCCTCTCGACCTCAGGTTGCGCCTTACACCACTTGCCTAATCAACGGCATCTACTGGGACCCTCAGACGCCACGGCTCCTGAGGCGGCTGGATGCCCAGAGGCTCCTGAGGCACGTCAAGCCCTCAGCCGCTGCTACCGAGGGATGGCCAGAGCTACCCCACAAGTAAGCCCTAACCCCCCCCCTTCTGCATCAGAAAAAGCTTCTATTAGTTTGTGTATTTGTTCTAACGTGAGACTCAATTCTTACGTAATCAGCTGAGGAATTGGATTTGCGATAAGAACTGGTACTATCGCAGTCAGAAGCCTGCCATAGGTGATTGCGGTCAAATGTCAAGGCTTATCTTCAATTATGTTAATGTTCTACGGGAACAAAACCCAAGTGTGGAGTGCAGTCACCGTGACCCGACTGGCTGATAAACACTCTTATATGGACTTTTCTTATTCATTCTCTCTCTCTCTCTCTCTCTCTCTCTCTCTCTCTCTCTCTCTCTCTCTCTCTCTCTCTCTCTCTCTCTCTCTCTCTCTCTCTCTCTCTCTCTCTCTCTCTCTCTCTCTCTCTCTCTCTCTCTCTCTCTCTCATTGAATCCACAGAGTATTTTGGTTTGAGAGATGGTAAGACGAGGTGCTGGGGTAAGGTACGCTGAGCCATCAGCATGTTTTGGTTTTTGAGGTTTAGTTTGCTTGGGGAGAGGGTTGTGTGGAATGTAGCCATACAAGCACAAAACAAAAGCTCAGGTTATGTTTGTCCGTTCAGGCTTACCGTACTGTAGATGCCACTGCTTGCCAGTGATGGCCGCTTTGCCAGCGATGGCCACTTGGAATGGTAATTCTGTTCTTTGCTGAATTAATATGTGCTTCCCGGTTCTGTCTTACTCAGCTGCTCTCGGATGCCACCAGGCCCGTTGAAGAAGAGGACTTCTCACCTCAAGTCAGAGATGTGAGTACCACATGAACAAATCCCTATTACTCAATCATTTTTGCATCATAAAATACTATGGACTTGAAACCTAGACATAGCTTGACATCTTAAGCAAAGGGTGGTATAGGGTGGCAGGTAGCCTAGCGGTTAGAGTGTTGGGCCAGTAACCGAAAGGTTGCTGGTTCGAATACCCGAGCTGACAAGGTGAAAATCTGTCTGTGCCATTGAGCAAGACATTTAACCCTAATTTCCTCCAGGGGCGCCATACTATTATGGCTGACCCTGTAAAACAACAGATTTCACTGGACCTATCTGGTGTGTGACAATAAAACATAAAATAACTAGTTATTACATTATTTGCTATATGTGATAATAGCTAACCAAGGTCTAGTTGGTGGCTGCATTGTGTGTTTTTTGCTCTAAAGTATGTTGGTTTCAGGAGGCCACATTGAAGTTCATAATCTGTATACAGATGGACCCAAAAAAATCTTTTGACTTTTGGACTAAAGTTGTCATGCGATATTGTCCTGTTTAAGCCATTGTGCTGTAGTAGAACCATAGAAAGTGTCCGTTTCCGAATACCCGTACTTGTGTTCTAAATGGTAGGCATTTTGTGTATGCGAACATTTTTAGTTTTATGAAATGTAGAAAGTTGAGTGCTTTACATGCCAGGATGTCATACTCATTTCGGCTTTTCATCTAGTACAATTCGCTGCACACTATTTAGGAAGACAAGACCTACGTGTGTTTGACAACAGCTGATAATCAGCTGATGGGATGCGCTGGACCAAAATGAACAAAATGCGGTAATCAACGCAATTGCACATTCTCAGTATGATGAGCCTGGTGTGCTGAGATTTGATTACGGCATTCATTTTTACTAAACGGTGTGTTCTAAATACTATGTAGTACGATTAGTAGCCAGAATGCAGTTTAAGTAAGTAGTAGGCAAGCCAGATTTCAGACACGGCCAGTGACTTGTTTTGTCAGACTTTTGTTTTTGTCAGTTATGGCAGATTTATTTATTTATTTATTTATTTATTTATTTATTTATTTATTTATTTATTTATTTATTTATTTATTTATATATATATATATATATATATATATATATATATATATATATATATAGTAACAGTCAAAAGTCTGGACACACCTACTCATTCAAGGGTTTTTCTTTATTTTTACTATTTTTTACATTGTAGAATAATATTGAAGACATCAAAACTATGAAATAACACATATGGAATCATGTAGTAACCAAAAAAGTATTAAACAAATCAAAATATATTTTATATTTGAGGTTCTTCAAATAGCCACCATTTGCCTTGATGACAGCTTTGCACACTCTTGGCATTCTCTCAACCAGCTTCATGAGGTAGTCACCTGGAATGCATTTCAATAAACAGGTGTGCCTTCTTAAAAGTTAATTTGTGGAAGACCAAGTCCATATTATGGCAAGAACAGCTCAAATAAGCAAAGAGAAACGATAGTCCATCATTACTTTAAGACATGAAGGTCAGTCAATCCAAAAAATGTCAAAAACTTTGAAAGTTTCTTCAAGTGCAGTCGCAAAAACCATCAAGCGCTATGATGAAACTGGCTCTCATGAGGACCGCCACAGGAATGGAAGACCCAGAGTTACCTCTGCTGCAGAGGATAAGTTCATTGCCAGCCTCAGAAATTGCAGCCCAAATAAATGCTTCAGAGTTAAGTAACAGATACATCTCAACATCAACTGTTCAGAGGAGACTGTGTGGATCAGGTCGTCATGGTCGATTTGCTGCAAAGAAACCACTACTAAAGGACACTAACAACAAGAAGAGACTTGCTTGGGCCAAGAAACATGAGCAATGGACATTAGACAAATTGGAGATTTTTAGTTCCAACCGCCGTGGCTTTGTGAGACACGGTATGGGTGAACGGATGATCTCTGCATGTGTATTTCCCACCGTGAGGCATGGAGGAGGTGGTGTTATGGTGTGGGGGTGCTTTTCTGGCGACACTGTCTGATTTTAGTTAGGTTTCAAGGCACACTTGACCAGCATGGCTACCACAGCATTCAGCAGCGATACGCCATCCCATCTGGTTTGGGCTTAGTGGGACTATTATTTGTTTTTCAACAGGACAATGACCCAACACACCTCCAGGCTGTGTAAGGGCTATTTTACCAAGAAGGAGAGTGATGGAGTTCTGCATCAGATGACCTGGCCTCCACAATCCTCCGACCTCAACTCAATTGAGATGTTTTGGGATGAGTTGGACCGCAGAGTGAAGGAAAATCAGCCAAAAAGTGCTCAGCATATGTGGGAACTCCTTCAAGACTGTTGGAAAAGCATTCCAGGTTAAGCTGGTTGAGAGAATGCCAAGAGTGTGCAAAGCTGTCATCATGGCAAAGGGTGGCTATTTGAAGAATCTCAAATATACAATATTTTGATTTGTTTAACACTTTTTTTGGTTACTACATGATTCCATATGTGTTATTTCATAGTTTTGATGTCCTCAGTATTATTCTACATTGTATAAAATAGTAAAAAATTAAGAAACACTGGAAACTTTTGACTGGTAGTGTGTGTGTGTGTGTGTGTGTGTGTGTGTGTGTGTGTGTACACACACACACACACACACACACACACACACACACAGTGGGGAGAACAAGTATTTGATACACTGCCGATTTTGCAGGTTTTCCTACTTACAAAGCATGTAGAGGTCTGTAATCTTTATCATAGGTACACTTCAACTGTGAAAGACGGAATCTAAAACAAAAATCCAGAAAATCACATTGTATGATTTTTAAGTAATTAATTTGCATTTTATTGCATAACATAAGTATTTGATCACCTACCAACCAGTAAGAATTCCGGCTCTCACAGACCTGTTAGTTTTTCTTTAAGAAGCCCTCCTGTTCTCCACTCATTACCTATATCAACTGCACCTGTTTGAACTCGTTACCTGTATAAAAGACACCTGTCCACACACTCAATCAAACAGACTCCAACCTCTCCACAATGGCCAAGACCAGAGAGCTGTGTAAGGACATCAGGGATAAAATTGTAGACCTGCACAAGGCTGGGATGGGCTACAGGACAATAGGCAAGCAGCTTGGTGAGAAGGCAACAACTGTTGGCGCAATTATTAGAAAATGGAAGAAGTTCAAGATGACGGTCAATCATCCTCGGTCTGGGGCTCCATGCAAGATCTCACCTCGTGGGGCATCAATGATCATGAGGAAGGTGAGGGATCAGCCCAGAACTACACGGCAGGACCTGGTCAATGACCTGAAGAGAGCTGGGACCACAGTCTCAAAGAAAACCATTAGTAACACACTACGCCGTCATGGATTAATATCCTGCAGCGCACGCAAGGTCCCCCTGCTCAAGCTGGCGCATGTCCAGGCCCGTCTGAAGTTTGCCAATGACCATCTGGATGATCCAGAGGAGGAATGGGAGAAGGTCATGTGGTCTGATGAGACAAAAATAGCTTTTTGGTCTGAACTCCACTTGCCGTGTTTGGAGGAAGAAGAAGGATGAGTACAACCCCAAGAACACCATCCTAACCATGAAGCATGGAGGTGGAAACATAATTATTTTGGGATGCTTTTCTGCAAAGGGGACAGGACGACTGCACCGTATTGAGGGGAGGATGGATGGGGCCATGTATCGCGAGATCTTGGCCAACAACCTCCTTCCCTCAGTAAGAGCATTGAAGATGGGTCGTGGCTGGGTCTTCCAGCATGACAACAACCCAAAACACACAGCCAGGGCAACTAAGGAGTGGCTCCGTAAGAAGCATCTCAAGGTCCTGGAGTGGCCTAGCCAATCCAATAGAAAATCTTTGGAGTGAGCTGAAAGTCTGTATTGCCTAGCGATAGCCCCGAAACCTGAAGGATCTGGAGAAGGTCTGTATGGAGTAGTGGGCCAAAATCCCTGCTGCAGTGTGTGCAAACCTGGTCAAGACCTACAGGAAACATATGATCTCTGTAATTGCAAACAAAGGTTTATGTACCAAATATTAAGTTCTGCTTTTCTGATGTATCAAATACTTATGTCATGCAATAAAATGCAAATTAATTACTTAAAAATCATACAATGTGATTTTCTGGATTTTTGTTTTAGATTCCGTCTCTCACAGTTGAAGTGTACCTATGATCAAAATTACAGACCTCTACATGCTTTGTAAGTAGGAAAACCTGCAAAATCGGCAGTGTATCAAATACGTGTTCTCCCCACTGTGTGTGTGTGTGTGTATATATATATATATATATTTTTTTTAAATATTTAACCAACAGCAAACAGTTTTTACATCTTTCCTCCATTGAAGGCTGTGATAACGTCAAACGGAAAGCTTACTCCAAAGTTTGAATACATTGAAGAACTTCGTGAACGTAGGTAAGATTGCATGTCAATATATCTAGTGGTTTGACTTTGAGAATGGCTTTCTTGTTTTAATGACTGATGGCATATTTTGTGCATTTGTTAGATGTTTTAAGTGTCACTGTGTTATAACTGTAAGCTATAAAAATAGTCGCACACTATATATAAACTCCCAGTAATTTATTGGGTAAAACACCAACGTTTCTTCAGGGTAATGTCATGAATGCTTGAACCTGGTCATGTAGACAAACAGTGCAATTAGTGCAACCAATGAGAATAGTGAGTGGTGTGTCATAGTTATTAGGTTGATTAGAATTAAATGAGTGAAACTGTTAAGAGCATGTTGAATATATTAAGCTATTGTAATCACATGGGAACATAATTAAATATTGTATATAATATTAGCATCAACATATTGTACATTATAGTTTCATTTAATTTCACTCAATTTCAATATAAAAACTCAGCAAAAAAAGAAACGTCCTCTCACTGTCAACTGTTTATTTTCTGCAAACTTAACATGTGTAAATATTTGTATGAACATAAGATTCAACAACTGAGACAAGTTCCACGGACATGTGACTAACAGAAATTGAATAATGTTTCCCTGAACAAAGGGGGGGTCAAAATCAAAAGTAAGTCAGTATCTGGTGTGGCCACCAGCTGCATTAATTACTGCAGTGCATCTCCTCCTCATGGACTGCACCAGATTTGCCAGTTCTTGCTGTGAGATGTTACCCCACTCTTCCACCAAGGCACCTGCAAGTTCCCGGACATTTCTGGGGGGAATGGCCCTAGCCCTCACCCTCCGATCCAACAGGTCCCAGACATGCTCAATGGGATTGAGATCCGGGCTCTTCGCTGGCCATGGCAGAACACTGACATTCCTGTCTTGCAGGAATTCACGCACAGAACGAGTAGTATGGCTGGTGGCATTGTCATGCTGGAGGGTCATGTCAGGATAGGCCTGCAGGAAGGGTACCACATGAGGGAAGAGGAAGTCTTCCCTGTAACACACAGCGTTGAGATTGCCTGCAATGACAAGCTCAGTCCGATGATGTTGTGACACACCGCCCCAGACCATGACGGACCCTCCACCTCCAAATCGATCACGTGGCTGGGTTTGTGCCCATAGACGATGTTGTTGCCGGTGATGTCTGGTGAGGACCTGCCTTAAAACAGGCCTACAAGCCCTCAGTCCAGCCTCTCTCAGCCCATTGCGAACAGTCTAAGCACTGATGGAGGGATTGTGCGTTCCTGGTGTAACTCGGGCAGTTGTTGTTGCCATCCTGTACCTGTCCCGCAGGTGTGATGTTCGGATGTACCGATCCTGTGCAGGTGTTGTTACGCGTGGTCTGTCACTGCAAGGACTATCAGCTGTCCGTCCTGTCTCCCTGTAGCACTGCCTCAGGCATCTCACAGTACGGACATTGCAATTTATTGCCCTGGCCACATCTGCAGTCCTCATGCCTTCTTGCAGCATGCCTAAGGCACGCTCACACAGATGAGCAGGGACCCTGGGCATCTTTCTTTTGGTGTCCTAAGTTTTCATAACTGTGAACTTAATTGCCTACCATCATGTTAGTGTCTTAACGACAGTTCCACAGGTGCATGTTCATTAATTGTTTATGGTTCATTGAACAAGCATGGGAAACATTGTTTAAACCCTTTACAATGAAGATCTGTGAAGTTATTTGGATTTTTATGAATTATCTTTGAAAGACAGGGTCCTGAAAAAGGGAAGTTTATATTTAATTGTTTCAAATTTCATAATTGTTTTGTTACATGTCATCTTTTAGTTGAACCATAATGCGTAATAAGCAACATCAACAGGGGTAACATTTTGGCTGTACACTGATAAGCTGTAGAAATAATATATTCATTTATAAGACTTGTTCATACAAAATAATTGTTCATAAGAAGGGCCTGAGGTCAGTCAATATTCAGACCACTAGGGGTTAATGTTTTTAGATGGGAGATCCAGTAGGCCTCCCTCTGTAGTAGTAGGATCTCGATGTTACCTCCTCTCCTTGGTAGAGCAACATGCTCAATGCCTGTGTATTTGAGGGAGGACATAGGATGGTTAGCTTCAACAAAGTGAGCTGCTACTGGATAGTCAGTGTTCTTACACCTGATTGAGCTGTTGTGTTCAGCTATGCGTTGTTTTAATTGTCTTTTCATTTGTCCTATGTAGGCTTTCCCACATGAACAGGTGATAAGATAGATGACTCCCTTTGTCTTGCATGAGATGATACGCCTAACAGGTATTTTTCGACCTGTATGTGGGTGTCTGAAGGATGTTTTTGTAATGCTATTGCACTGTGCGCATGAGCCACATTTGTAGTTCCCATTTGGAAAGGGTGTCTAAGTGGGCTCAGTGGGCAGGTACGATCTCATTAAGCTGTCCCCAATATTGAGGCCACGCTTAATTTTTTTGTCTGATTGCAGAATATGCCAGTGCTTTTTCAGGATTGCTTTAATTTTCTCTGAACACTTGGTGTACTTAATGCAAAATACTGTTGCATTGTTGTTTCTTTGGTTTAGTTTTGAGCAACTCCTCTCTTGGTTTTGGGGAATGTATCATCATTGTAGCATCAAGAGTTTTGTCCTTGTAGCCTCTCATTTTGAATGTATCTGTCATTTTCTTAGCATTGCTGTCAATCTGATGCGTTTAACCCTGCATAACTGGCTATATGGTAGACCATTCTTGAGGGGAATGGGATGCATACTATCCGCACTTAGCAGGGTATTGTGGTTTGTGTGCTTTGTGTATAAGTCTGTGTGTAATGCATCATTCTCTTTGATGATTCTTAAGTCCAGGTAGTTAATTTTTTCTCATCAGTCTACATGGTGAATTTGAGATATTCAGAGTTTGGAATTAATTTAGTTCCTGCTGACTTCCTTCCCAGAACACAAAGACCTGATCTATGTATCTCTTCCGTAGGAGGATTTTAGAAAGTAGGGGGCATGTCTGTTTTGTAAATGTGTGTTTCCTCAAATTGTCCCACATACAGGTTCGCATAGTTGGGGGCAAAGGGGGAGCCCATGGCTACACCCCTGTGTTATAAGAAAATAGATTTTACTGTTGAAGTCAGTGATGTTTAATATGTGCTTTCTTTCATGTTATAATTATTAAACAGCATTTGTCTATAATAATACCTTTGATCTGAAAATGCATTTCCTGCACAAATTGTATGCTAGTTTGGTAAGCTTTATGTTGTTGGCGTTGTGTTTTCCAATAAATACATCTGATGAAATTACTTTGGTAAATATGCCTGTCACATCATAAAGGTAAAGCTACCAATCTAAGGAAGAAATCTCTAAAGATTCCTTTACAGGTAAAATGTTCACTTGTTTTCACGTATTTTGACAATTAGATTAGTTTGTAGTCTCAGTTTGTAGTAATCATACTGTAGCATAACATAGGCATAGCATAGCATTAGCATAGCATAGCATACCCAGTGAGCAGCATAGCAAATGCAGCAATAGACTGCATGTGCTTAAAAGCTTGTTATTCCCCTTCCTCATTGTCTGGTCGAGCTCAGGCTTAAAGGTCCCAAACAGTCATTCTGATTCCCATGTAAAATAGCCTTTTGAGTGACTAAAACATCACCCATAATATTTTTCCAGATTAAAAAAATACTCAACATTTTAGAAATTACTTTCTCTCAGGTCAAACTACCAGGAAGACTGAAAAGACAGACTGAGTGGGCGGGAAGCTAGTAGGCTGAGTGGGCGGGGAGCTCACCTTGACTGGCGGTTCTTTGAAAACGCCTATGTCAAGCAACATGGATGCAGTGTTGCAGTAAGATTCTCAAGCAAATGTGCTGATACACAAAGCAACTCAAACAATATTGAAATTGCATGCAACGTCCAATCCTGTCATACACCGCATCATGGTTTCACAAATGATTTGTTTATCCAACTGTTTGGTTATTGTAAAAGCATCAATATAGACAAAATGTTGGATGTATAATTTAGCTAGCTAGCCCAAATGGAATTGTCAGTACTGTTTATCAAGCTAGCTAGTTCAGGGACCATCAATAAATTATACAATGTACTGTAAATGAGACAATATTTTCATGTTTCATGCACACCTTTAAGTTTTCTCATTAAATGCTTTGAATATTTGTATATGAATTTCGACAATTTATAGTTGGAGGTTAAGTCATTGAAATTTGGAGCAATTGGAATTTTAACATATTGTACCATGTACAGGTAAATGCAAAAATAAAGGAAATACCAAAGGTGTCGGAATAGGGCGTTGGGCCACCGCGAGTCAGAACCGCTTCAATGCACCGTGGCATAGATTGTACAAGTGTCTGGAACTCTATTGGAGGGATGCGACACCATACTTCCTTGAGAAATTCCATAATTTGGTGTTTTGTTGATGGTGGTGGAAAACTGGGTCTCAGGCGCGCCGCTCCGGGATCTCCCATAATTATTCGATTGTGTTGACATCTGGTGACTGAGACGGCTATGGCATATGGTTTGCATCGTTTTCATGCTCATCAAACCATTCAATGACCACTCGTACCCTGTATATGGGGGCATTGCCATGGTAGCCAAAATAATGGCCTGCTCAGCATTTTATACATGACCCTAAGCATGATGGGATGTTAATTGCTTAATTAACTCAGGAACCACACCTGTGTGGAAACACCTGCTTTCAATATACTTTGTATCCCTCATTTACTCAAGTGTTTCCATTATTTTGGCAGTTACCTCTACATTTGTGTAATTTACCAATTGTCCCTAACTAGCCCCATAGGTATATCCACAGTGAACCCAAATTTACCACGGTCATTATGATTGAGTCGCGTGCAGCTGCACTCCGAATTGATGATTACTTGTGTGTTGCCTGCTGTGTGCATGTGGGCAGGATTAAAACAAACCCAACCTTCATTTACATTGCAATACAGTCACGACCACAAGTCTCACAAAACTCCGTTTTGGACGAGACTGACTTTATCACCATAATTATCCTATTTACACGTTGGTCAATTTTGATATTAGAATAAATATTTGGACACATTTCGGTGCCACAGGCTGTTTTCTAAATGAGAAGTTGGTTTTTAATGGCAGTTGCTCTTTAAATGCATGGGAGTGTATTTGAGCCAGTGTATTTAAGTATTTTCAAATACATTCCAATATTCAACTACCTGTTTTTTCAAATAAAGGTTATCTGAATACTTCTTTTGAAATTAAATGAAAAGTAATTTAAATACCTGAAATAGTATTTGAACACAGGTCTGGCTTTGATTGATGTAATATACATTATCACAGTGCATCAGCTTGGGTTTTTCACTAAAACTCTGAATGTCTTTCATTATTAGTGTGATTTGCTCGGCTGTAAGATGCTAGCTCCATTGGTTAAGTACTAATTTCTTAGGAGGATGCTATTAAAACTGGATCATTTATATTAAAATCATTTTATACCATATCTGCTTGGTAAGAAAATCCCACCTTGGTTATAATTCTGAGCAAGATTGCTTGTGTTCAGGTTCTCATTATGCGTGTGTGTGAGAAAGAGGGAGATGAACTATGGATTTGTGTGTGTGTGTCTGTGATGGTTTTATTCTGTGCTCTCACTGTGTATAAACCCCTTACCCTCAGTGAGCAAGCAGAGATCATGAAGAAGAGTGGAATGAAACGAGTGCTACTACTGGGCTCAGGTTATGTGTCGGGCCCTGTCATCGAGTACCTCACCCGGGACATAGGGACTCAAGTCACTGTAGGTAAGGCTCTGAAAAGGAAATGGTGCACCATACTCACTATATTCACAAATACCCAGCTGATGATGAATTAGTTATTAAAATGTTTAACTGGATGCACAGCAAATGTATCGTGTACTCATTTTAGCTCATTTAAATCTAAGCTGTATCCCCGGCCCATTTTTGTTTTCAAATGTCAATTTTACTCAAAGCTTTCACCCCTCCCATCTCTCTCACAGCTGTTATCTATGTCTCCTTGTGTTCTAGCATCAGTGTTGTTGACCCAGGCAGAGGAGTTGGCAGGGAAATACCCCAACACCATCCCAGTCATGCTGGATGTCACCAGTCAGGAGGGCCAGCTGGAGTCCCTGGTCAAAGACCATGACTTAGTCATTAGGTACACACACACATACACATACACATACACATATAAACACACACAGGGTCTCCACCGAGCTAGGTAAATCTGCTTTTAGGTTTAATACATTTCATCTTGACGTTCTGGTGCTGTTTGGGCAATTTTAAAGTATTGAATGGGGATATATTTGTGGATGAATGGAACTGTTTTTCAGGATGATTTGCAATGTTTTATTTGTTTTTACCATGACTGTCAGGAGTGGAGTGTAGTGGGATGTGGAATCACACGCAGGACACAGAGATATAAATCCAAAGGTCTTTTAGTGAAGTCCGTAGTACACGCCCAACACGGCAACAGGCCACAGGCGAAATGAAACGCACACTAAACTGTACAAAGTAAGTGTGCACAACGTGCAGGACTCTCTATACAACACGAAATAAGAGAGAACAAAAATCCAGAGGACCAAACAACCACACGACAGTCGAACAATTACACACAACACCTGACCTAACACAAGGAACTAAATAGGGTGCCTAATGAGACTAAACACTAAACAGGTGTGACAAACAGACAAAACCAATCAAACATGAAACATCGAACGGTGGCAGCTAGTACTCCGGAGACGACGACCGCCGAAGCCTGCCCGAACAAGGAGGAGGGGCCGCCTCGGCCGAAACCGTGACAATGACTGTGTTTTTGTATTCGTTTGTGTGTATATACAGTACCTGTCCAAAGTTTGGACACACCTACTCATTCCAGGGTTTTTCTTAATTTTTACTATTTTCTACATTGTAGAATAATAGTGACGATATCAAAACTATGAAATAACACATATGGAATCATGTAATAACCAAAAAAGTGTTAAACAAATCAGAATATATTTTATATTTGAGATTCTCCAAAGTAGCCACCCTTTGCCTTGATGAAAGTTTTGCACACTCTTGGCATTCTCTCAATCAGCTTCACCTGGAATGCTTTTCCAACAGTCTTGAAGGAGTTCCCACATATGCTGAGTACTTGTTGGCTGCTTTTCCTTCACTCTGCGGTCCAAATCATCCCAAACCATCTCAATTGGGTTGAGGTGGGGGCAATGTGGAGGCCAGGTCATCTGATGCAGCACTCCATCACTCTCCTTTTTGGTAAAATAGCCCTTACACAGCCTGTAGTTGTATTGGGTCATTGTCTTGTTGAAAAATAAATGATAGTCCAACTAAGCCCAAACCAGATGGGATGGCGTATCGCTGCAGAATGCTGTGGTAGCCATGCTGGTTAAGTGTGCCTTGAATTCTAAATAAATCACAGACAGTGTCACCAGCAAAGCACCATCGCACCTCCTCCATGCTTCACAGTGGGAAGCACACATGCGGAGATCATCCGTTCACCTACTCTGCGTCTCACAAAGACACGGCGGTTGGAACCAGAAATCTCCAATTTGGACAGATTTACACCGGTCAAATGTCCATTGCTCGTGTTTCTTGGCCCAAGCAAGTCTCTTCTTCTTATTGGTGTCCTTTAGTAGGGGTTTGTTTGCAGCAATTCAACCATGAAGGCCTGATTCACGCAGTCTCCTCTGAACAGTTGATGTTGAGATGTGTCTGTTACTTGAACTCTGTGAAGAATTTATTTGGGCTGCAATTTTGAGGCTAGTAACTCTAATTAACTTATCCTCTGCAGTAGAGGTAACTCTGGGTCTTCCTTCCTGTGGCGGTCCTCATGAGAGCCAGTTTCATCATAGCGCTTGATGGTTTTTGCGACTGCACTTTTCCGGATTGACTGACCTTCATGTCTTAAAGTAATGATGGACTGTTGTTTCTCTTTGCTTATTTGAGCTGTTCTTGCCATAATATGGACTTGGTCTTTTACCAAATAGGGCTATCTTCTGTATAGCCCCCCCCCCCCCCCCCCCCCCCACCTTGTCACGACACAACTGATTGGCTCAAACACATTAAGAAGGAAAGAAATTCCACAAATGAACTTTTAACAAGGCGCACCTGTTAATTGAAAAGCATTCCAGGTGACTACCTCATGAAGCTGGTTGAGAGAATGCCAAGAGTGTGCAAAGCTGTCATCAAGGCGAAGTGTGGCTACTTTGAAGAATCTCAAATATATTTTGATTTGTTTAACACTTTTTTGGTTACTACATGATTCCATATGTGTTATTTCATAGTTTTGAAGTCTTCACTATTATTCTACAATGTAGAAAATATTGAAAATAAAGAAAAACCCTTGAATGAGTAGGTGTGTCCAAAGTTTTGACCGATAGTGTATGTATGCGTGTGTGTGTGTGTGTTTAATGTGTATTTTATATTGTATTATACAGGGCGCATTTGGAAAAGAGACCTAGGTCTCAATATGTCTTCCCTGTCAAAATAAATGTTAAATAGAATTTAAAAACACATACACACGAGGTGAATGAGAGGTGAAAATGTGTCATTGTCACATGTACTCTGCCATTTATGTTTCAGTATGCTGCCTTATGGGTATCACCCTGTGATCGCCAAGCACTGCATCAACAAGAAGGTGAACATGGTGACTGCCAGCTACCTGAGTCCAGCCATGAAGGACCTCCAACAGAGGTGGGAGAGAAGTGTATGGGGAGTAGAGGAGATTCCTCTAGTTGTTAAAGAAGGAGTGAGAGGGATAGGGGTTAGGGGAAAACATATCTATGTAGAAGTGGAGATTAAATGGAGAATGTGTTTCATCTTGTCTTAAAGGCCCAGTGAAGTCAAAACGTGATTTTCCTGTGTATTATACACTGAGTATACCAAACATTAGGAACACCTTCCTAATATTGAGTTGCATTCCCCCTTTTGCCCTCAGAACAGCCTCAATTCGTCCGGACATGGACTCTACAACGTTTTGAAAGCATTCCATAGTAATACTGGCCCATGTTGACTCCAATGTTTCCCACAGTTGTGTTAAGATGGCTGGATGTCCATTGGGTGGTGGACCATTCTTGATACACACAGGGAAACTTTTGAGCGTGAAAAACTCAGCAGCATTGCAGTTCTTGACACAAAACGGTGCGCCTGGCACCGACTACCATACCCCGTTCAAAGGCACTTCAATCTTTTGTCTTGCCCATTCACCCTCTGAATGGCACACATACACAATCCGTGTCTCAAGGCTTAAAAATCCTTCTTTAACCTGTCTCCTCCCCATCATCTACACTGATTGAAGTGGATTTAACAAGTGACATCAATAAGGGATCATGGCTTTCACCTCGATTCACCTGGTCAGTGTATGTCATGGAAAGAGCAGGTGTCAATGTTTTGTACACTCAGTGTATATATTTCCACACGACGAGGTGTATAATACTGTGAAAATTATGATAATGCCCTTTTAGAGTAAGAGCTGTTTGAAAAGACCGCCTGAAATTTAAACCTGTTTAGGTGGGATGGAGTTTTGGCTTGCCTGGCGACATCACCAGGCGATATAAGTTAATAAACCAATAACAAAGAGAGTTTCAAACCTCTCTGCTAATGACAGTGAGTTTTCAGGTTACATATCCCTCCCATTAGGCTCGTCCAATTAGGCCCCTCACTCAGACCACTCCCAGACAGTCCTAGCAAAATTCTTGCTTGAGAAATTGCTCTTTGCTAAGAAGCTATTTTTGTTTCTTTTTGACGATTGTTTTTATTAAACACAAATCACAGTAAGGTACTGAATTTTTACCCAGAAATTATTTGATATTGAGATAAAAATGGCTGCATTGGACCTTTATTGCTAATCATGGGCTATTTAATACACAATTGACTAGATGTAAGCTACAGGCAGGCACCAAGACACTTGATCTTATTGCTTGAGATGGCATTAGTCAGAATAAGCTACTGGTCAAGTGAATGTATTATCTCTACGTGTGGCTGAGTGTGTTTGTCTGTGTGTTTCCTTTCAGTGCTGAGGAAGCTGGCATCACCATAGTGAATGAGATGGGCCTGGACCCTGGCATCGACCACATGCTGGCTATGGAGTGCATCGACCAAGCCAAGGCGGACGGCTGCACTGTGAGTGAAACGTGAGGGAGATTGTGAAAGAATCTAGTATAAGTGATTTGTGCGTTTGAGAGCGAGTGTTTTGGTGATTGTGGCATCTGTACACATACGGGATTGTGTGTGTGTGTGCTGTGCATATAATGAATGATTGAGCGTATGTCGAAGGGATGAGTGGCATCTTGTCAGTTTCCTTGGCAGTCATATTGATTGCGGGCCCAACAGATTGAAACACCATGTGTCTTCGATTTGTTCATTTTCCCCCCATCTTGATGAGAAGATGAACGGACTGTACTATCACACAGGAAAATTGACAAATGTGCCAGCATGTTGACAACGCATTTGACTAGTCAATGCACAAAACATTTGATAAATGTGGATGTGCAAATTGTGTTTTAAATCAATTTACGTGTGTGTGTGTGTGTGTGTGTGTTTTAGATTGAGTCATACAGTTCATTCTGTGGTGGACTCCCTGCACCAGAGTGCTCAGACAATCCTCTGCGCTACAAATTCAGCTGGAGTCCTTACGGAGTCCTCCTCAATACCATCAGCCCTGCCATCTTCCTCAAGGACAACAAGGTACAGTAGCCATCTAGGATCAGCAGATCCTCCCCAAATCCTAAACTTAACCATTAGGGACGGGATTGCAAAACTGTCCCAGGATCAGTGTCTAGGAGTAACTTCATCCTCCTCTGTGTCCCCCAGGTGGTGAGCATCCCAGCGGGCGGAACTCTGATGGAGTCTACGGCTCCCATGGACTTCATGCCTGGCTTCAACCTGGAGGGCTTCCCCAACCGCGACAGCACCAAATACGCTGAGCAATACGGCATTGAGTCGGCCCACACACTCATCAGAGGAACACTCCGCTTCAAGGTACTGCCAACACCAGGGTGGTGAGTATGGCGTTACTGTCAATCTCGATAGTTCTGTGTCACTTTGGATAAATCTTGTATTTCTGTCCCACAGGGTTTCTCCAAGGCCATGAGTGGCTTTGTGAAGTTGGGTCTGATCAACACTGACCCCTGCCCCATGGTAGAGCATACCTCTGCTCCTGTCTCCTGGGTAAATATAATGATACTTATAACAGCTTTAAAAGACAAGTTAACTTTTTTGGAACCAAATCTCAATTTTTTACCCTTTTTTTTTTCTTTTTGCCATTTCACTTGGTTTTGAGAAGCATACTCCACCAGTGATAGACTTCTTCAGGCTCGTTCTGCAGATGCAGGGGCACAGATAAAACATAAACAAAGGCTCCAAAAACACCCAAATACATCCTTTGAGAAACAGCAACGCTCTCAGTATAGTGATGCAGGTCTTTAGATGTTATACACATTAAATTGGCATTCTGAACTTTATCCTTAACGGTATATTCCATTTTGTTGGACTCGACCGATACTTTTCAGTGTGCTTTCTCGTTCCCATTGTGGTGATTAAAGCCTGTGCATGCTCACACACAGAGAAGTATTGCTCAATTCCAACTAAATTGAATATAACGTTGGGGATTGAGGTATTTTACATAAAGAATTTAGATTTAAAAAAAATTAGAACTTGTCCTTTAATTTACTTTTAACTTAATTTAGAATATGCTTTTCATAAATGGTTATTAAAGTACCAGGATACACCGAGCAAACGCTGCATCACACTAGAGCTACAATGCAGATTTGATTGACAAGACTGAACAAAAAAGATTTTAAAAAATCCCTGTGCAACAGAAAGAGATGCTGTGTATACAGATGGGCTTGCCCCTGTCTACCAATGACGAGGCATTTGAGGGAGCAGTCTATGACCGCATCGGCCAAGACGACTTCAAGATGGAGACACTCAAATGGTGAGAGGCTCAAGTCCTGACCAGATACAGTGAGGGGAAAAAAGTATTTGATCCCCTGCTGATTTTGTACGTTTGCCCACTGACAAAGAAATGATCAGTCTATAATTTTAATGGTAGGTTTATTTGAACAGTGAGAGACAGAATAACAACAACAAAATCCAAAAAAACGCATGTCAAAAATGTTATGAATTGATTTGCATTTTAATGAGGGAAATAAGTATTTGACCCCTCTGCAAAACATGACTTAGTACTTGGTGGCAAAACCCTTGTTGGCAATCACAGAGGTCAGACGTTTCTTGTAGTTGGCCACCAGGTTTGCACACACCTCAGGAGGGATTTTGTCCCACTCCTCTTTGCAGATCTTCTCCAAGTCATTAAAGTTTTGAGGCTGACGTTTGGCAACTCGAACCTTCAGCTCCCTCCACAGATTTCCTATGGGATTAAGGTCTGGAGACTGGCTAGGCCACTCCAGGACCTTAATGTGCTTCTTCTTGAGCCACTCCTTTGTTGCCTTGGCCGTGTGTTTTGGGTCATTGTCATGCTGGAATACCCATCCATGACCCATTTTCAATGTCCTGGCTGAGGGAAGGAGGTTCTCACCCAAGATTTGACGGTACATGGCCCCGTCCATCGTCCCTTTTGATGCGGTGAAGTTGTCCTGTCCTCTTAGCAGAAAAACACCCCCAAAGCATAATGTTTCCACCTCCATGTTTGACGGTGGGGATGGTGTTCTTGGGGTCATAGGCAGCATTCCTCCTCCTCCAAACACGGCGAGTTGAGTTGATGCCAAAGAGCTCCATTTTGGTCTCATCTGACCACAACACTTTCACCCAGTTCTCCTCTATATCATTCAGATTCATTGGCAAACTTCAGACGGGCCTGTATATGTGCTTTCTTGAGCAGGGGGACCCTGCGGCGCTGCAGGATTTCAGTCCTTCACGGCGTAGTGTGTTACCAATTGTTTTCTTGGTGACTATGGTCCCAGCTGCCTTGAGATCATTGACAAGATCCTAGTTCTGGGCTGATTCCTCACCGTTCTCATGATCATTGCAACTCCACGAGGTGAGATCTTGCATGGAGCCCCAGGCAGAGGGAAATTGACAGTTATTTTGTGTTTCTTCCATTTGCGAATAATCGCACCAACTGTTGTCACCTTCTCACCAAGCTGCTTGGCGATAGTCTTGTAGCCCATTCCAGCCTTGTGTAGGTCTACAATCTTGTCCCTGACATCCTTGGAGAGCTCTTTGGTCTTGGCCATGGTGGAGAGTTTGGAATCTGATTGATTGATTGCTCCTGTGGACAGGTGTCTTTTATACAGGTAACAAACTGAGATTAGGAGTGTGCTCCTAATCTCAGCTCGTTACCTGTATAAAATACACTTGGGAGCCATAAATCTTTCTGATTGAGAGGGGGTCAAATACTTATTTCCCTCATTAAAATGCAAATCAATTTATAACATTTTTGACGTGTTTTTCTGGATTTTGTTGTTGTTATTCTGTCTCTCACTGTTCAAATAAACCTACCATTAAAATTATAGACTGATCATTTCTTTGTCAGTGGGCAAGTGTACAAAATCAGCAGGGGATCAAATACTTTTTTCCCTCACTGTACCATTCAAAATGTTGTACTCATATCTTTGCTAAATCCAGGGGTTAAAGTTCTCCGTCACTACGACGGATTTCCGTCATATGGATCCCAACGTTGTATCTGTCCCATTTTATGGCATCTGTAAGTGCACTAGCAGCGCCATTGAGACCGATACAACGTTGCGATCTCTATACATCTCTATGCCAGTGGTTCCAAACCGGTGTGACGCAGCACACCGGTGTGCCTTGAGGAACTCTCAGGTGTGCCGCGAAACTTTTCCTGATCTTGATTTTAAAAAAATGTATACTCACTTATAAACGTGACCTGTGGAATGCACATGGAATTTTGACTTGGGAGCACTAGTTTGATATTACTGCACTGTCGGAGCTAGAAGCACAAGCATTTCGCTAAACCCGCAATAACATCTGCTAAACACCTGTATGTGACAATACAATTTGATTTGATTTAGTGCCGGTCAGATAAAACATTAAATAGCACATGGTTACATCTGTTTCGTTGGTTCAAGTCCAGTGCACTCAGGCTGTTAGATTTGTATAATTTGAGGGGCGCGCATTACGAGCAACGTTATTTGTATAATTTTACTTTGATAGTCTTACCAGAGACATTTATTTCTTAATATATGGCTCTGGACTTAGTTAAAGAAACAAACGGAGCAGGGCTTTGTGTCTGGTTGCACCTTTACAATGCAGAAAACCTCTCGTCTGTAGCCCAAACCGTTCAAAACTAAAGACCTATTTTACCAGAGCTAAAAAAACTACATTTCTGGAGCAGATTCGCGGGACGCTCTTATAGGGGAACATTAAAATTCACCATCATGATTAAGGAACTATCAAAACTATGAAAATATTTCAAATAAACCCTATTTAATCTATTTAAAAAACTTTCTCACAGAAAGTTGATTTGCATTATGAATTAGATGAGATGGAGGTCATTGTCAGTAAATAATCGAATAGGGAAATGTTAGGTGTGTCACAACTTTATATCCCATCAAGGTGTGCCATGGTTCAAAAAAAGTTTGGGAACCACTGCTTTATGCAACAACAGGACAGAGAATCAGGAAGTGGATAGAACCTCGTTTCTTATAATTATCAGTAAATGTAACACGTTTAAAAATATCGATTACTATGTATAGCTTTGTAAGACTATAAATGACCAACCACCCAGCTTTGGAGTAGTTAGGTATATTTCCCTTGTTTTGAGAGGAACTGGCTACTGTACCGGGACACTTCCAGCAATTGTGCTGAGCTAACGATATTCTAACTTCAATAATCTCCAAACTGCACGCAGAGAATTGGTCTGACCTCTGGGTAGTAGAAAAACCACCTAGATCTCGAAATCTCGCAGTATCCCTTTAAAGGGGCAAAGGCATTTTAAAAGGGCAATGACATACTTAGGAATAGAAACTAAAATAATGAATAATGTAATAATAATAATAATAATTAATAACAATCAGAATCAGAATGTTTTGTCCAATGGGGTAAATATGCAAATGGACAAAACCCCATGCTTCAGCCTATGTATTTATAGCCACTATGCTGCATCAGTTGGGCTACAGGTGATAATGCTTATTGCTAATAGCACATCTCATAATATAGTCCAATATGTTCAAATAATTTTGCATCATTTTTACCAAATATGTTATTGGGCTCATTTCTGGAGGTGGAAATTATATTTTAGATGGTGTCAGCATAATACAATTTTCATGAATTTTGGAGTAGAATGTCCTTTTAAAAAGTCACCAGAACTGAGCATCTCAGTACTCCTACATACAAATTATACTGGGGAGGACCAAAGGGACTGGAATTGGTCAAACTTGCAGTTTAATACATGTACAAAATGATCCACTTTCCCTAAAAGCAGATGGTCATTACTTATTTTTACATGAAAGGGGAGGTTAACTTGGCCACAGACAATGGCCCCGATCTGAGAGCGACTTAAAGGGATACTTCGGGATGTTGGCAATGATGCCCTTTATCTACTTCCCCAGAGTCAGATGAACTTGTGGATAGTATCTCTGTGTCGAGTATGAAGGAAGTTAAGAGGTAATTTCGCTAACCAGTGCTAACTAGCGTTAGCGCAATGACTGGAAGTCTATGGTTATCTACTAGTTAAGTTTCAGTCATGGGATTTCCTTTAACCTCTGTAAATGTCTTAATTAATACTGTTTCTGTGGTCAGGTTCGGGATGCTGAGTAAGGAGGCCGTCCCCCATGCAGACACCATGCTGGCTTCGCTGGCTAAGCACTTAGAGGCCAGGCTCTCCTTTGGTAAGAGGGGCAGAAGTTATCTCTCTACTCTTTTACTGCCACAAACACCAATATGTATATCTTTCTCCATACTCCTTATATTCCTCCTTCTCCTACTTTTTTTATAGCAGTAAAGATTATTTAAAAAAAGAGTATAACCCTCTCTCTCCTTCTCGGTCCGTCTGTGTCCTCTCCTTTAGATAAAGGCGAGCGGGACATGATCATCATGAGGAATGACGTGGGCCTGCGCCACTCCACAGGCGAGCTTGAGACCAAGCACATCAGCCTGGTGGTCTACGGGGACCCCGACGGCCACTCTGCTATGGCCAAGACCGTGGGCTACCCCGCTGCCATCGCTGCTCGCATGGTGCTGGATGGTCAGTAGGGTAGCCTTGAGTCCTCATTGCATTTGTCATGTCTGAGATGTTAAGAATGGTTTAGGGAGGCAATCGGCCATTTTGCTGAAGACGAATGGACAACCCTAACATGTCTGTAAAAGTAAAGTGAAAACTGACTTTCAATCTGCAGGAGAAATCAGTACAAAGGGACTGGTGGTGCCAATGACTAAGGACATCTATGGACCGGCTCTGAAGAGACTGCAAGAGGAGGGCTTACAGTTCACTTCAAAAAGCACCATCCAAGAGTAGTAACTCATGTTACTTGTCTCAATAGTGTATATTGACTTCCTTTCCTGGTGTCCTCTCCTTCATCTACACTGATCCAAAAAAGACCACACAGATGAAGAAATACAGTTCTATTCTTCAATTCAGTTGAATTATTTCAGTACAGTGCAGATAAAGGAAAGGAGATGAGGAAACGAGCTAGTTTAAACAATTGAGAAATAGTCGTAGACTCAACACCAAGACCGATGGGAAATACAGCCAATCAGTAGCTGTGTACCAAGGCACAGAGAAACCAGTTGCATCTCCATAGTCCCAAGTGACTTCCTCTGTTCATCGCCATCCCTTCATCTGTGCTGATCTGAAAAGGCAGGGTGGTGAAGGCAATATGGTAGAAATCTCAGGAGGACAGGAGACAAGGAGAGGAAGCCTCATTAGGCTATTGAATGATGCACCCTGACTTTCTGCTTGTTTCAAAGGCATTTCCTCAGAGCATTGCCTGACCTCAACCAATTTATTGTTTCAACATGTGGCAAATAGAACAGTTATGTTGCAGGTGAACAGTTTCCAAGCAACTGGGTTCTTTAAGGCTGTACAATTCTTGACATGGAGAACCACAAAACTTGCAGAGTGTCATTATTATAACATGATGTGACAATCCGATAATCTTTGCAGACCTGCTCACCCAAAGGGTCTTTCCTTGACCAGCTGCTGCACAGTTCCACAGGTTTTTACATATTGATGTGGTTATCTGATCATTGTTGATGATAACACTCAGACAATCAAGATGCTAGAAATATCAGTGAATGTGTACAGTGCCTGCTCAAAAACAGACCAGTGAGTAAGTTGCAAGTGAATAATGTATCTCACCACTGTCATATAATACTAGCCTGGGCAACTTACTCAGAAGAACATGTAGTTGTAGTAACTCAAGAGCCTCTGAACAATTTTTAAACGTACTGTAGGTTAAAGAAGGATTTCTAAGCTTTGAGACATGGATTGTGTATGTGTGCCATTCAGAGGGTGAATGGGCAAGACAACAGATTTAAGTGCCTTTGAATGTGGTATGGTAGTAGGTGTATAATCTGGACATAAATGGTTTGCTTCAGATACATAAATAGATTCAGATATTTGATCTTTAAATAAGAGTCAACATAAATACATCGGTTTTGCTCTTAAATATATCTGCACACTATTTAGGAGTTGTACACAAATACAGTAGGTCAATTTCAAACTATTGCCCCAAAAGTAGCCATGGTAGGTTTTTGGGGGGTTTCTGTATGATGAGCTAATGGTTGACCGGTGACGCAGGTCATTGTGTAAATGTTTTTAAAACAAAAGTATGTGGACACATGCTCTTCAAACATCTCATTCCAAAATCTGCCTATGTTTGTCTATGAAGATTGCATGGCTGTGTGCTCGATTTTATACACCTGTCATGCAATCTCCATAGACAAACATTGGCAGTGGAATGGCCTTACTGAAGACCTCAGTGACTTAACGTGGCACCGTCATAGGATGCCACCTTTCCAACAAGTAATTTCATCAAATTTCTGCCCTGCTAGAGCTGCCCCAGTCAACTGTAAGTGCTGTTATTGTGAAGTGGAAACATCTATGAGCAAAAACGGCTTAGCCGCGAAGTGGTAGGCCACACAATCTCACAGAACGGGACTGCCGAGTGCTGAAGCACAGCGCGTAATAATTGTCTGTCCTCGGTTGCAACACTCACTACAGAGTTCCAAACTGCCTCTGGAAGCAACGTCAGCACATTAACTGTTCATCGGGAGCTTCATGAAATGGGTTTCAATGGCCGAGCAGCAGGCACCCAAGCCTAACATCACCATGCGCAATGCCAAGTGTCGGCTGGAGTGGTGTAAAGCTCGCCGGCATTGGACTCTGGGTTTGGCAGATGCCAGGAGAACGCTACCTGCCCCAATGCATATTGCCAACTGTACAGGTTGGTGGAGGAGGAAGAATGGTCTGGGGCTGTTTTTTATGGTTCGGGCTAGGTCCCTTAGTTCCAGTGAAGGGAAATCTTAATGCTACAGCATACAATGACATTCTAGATTGTTCAGTGCTTCCAACTTTGTGGCAACAGTTTGGGAAAGACCCTTTCCTGTTTCAGCGTGACAATGTCCCCGTGCCCAAAGCGAGGTCCATACAGAAAAAGTTTGTCGAGATCGGTGTGGAAGAACTTGACTGGCCTGCACAGAGCCCTGACCTCAACCCCATCGAACACCTTTTGGGATGAATTGGAACGGCGACTGCGAGCCAGGCCTAATCGCCCAACTTCAGTGACCGACCTCACCAATGCTCTTGTGGCTGAATGGAAGCAAGTCCCCGCAGCAATGTTCCAACATCTAGTGGAAACCCTTCCCAGAAGAGTGGAGGCTGTTATAGCAGGAAAGGGGGGACCAACTCCATATTAATGCCCAGGATTTTGGAATGAGATGTTCGACGAGCAGATTGAGATGTCTAATTGTTTCAAGCAAATAGAATAGAGACCCATTTTATTGATACGGATATAGAAGTATAAATATACACTTAGTGTACAAAACATTAAGGACACCTTCCGAATTGAGTTGTATCCCCCCATTTTGCCCTCAGAACAGCCTCAATTTGTTGGGGCATGGACTCAACAAGCATTCCACAGGGATGCTGGCCCATGTTGACTCCAATGCTTCCCACAGTTGTGTCAAGTTGGCTGGATGTCCTTTGGGTGGTGGACCAATCTTGATACACATGGGAAACTGTTGAGGGTGAAAAACCCAGGAGCGTTGCAGTTCTTGACACAAACAAACCAGTGCGTCTGGCACCTTCTACCATACCACATTCAAAGGCA